TTTTTGTTACAATGCGCAAATCAGTGAATTTACAAGTTCAATATAATAGCTTCTAAAAATGCATTCACTTACAAAAAACGTTACAAAATGAATGATAATGTCAGGTACATTGTTTAAACATGATCTCAGTAATATTTTGAGCTCACTTTTCAGTAAAGCAAATATTGATTAAACTTTGATCATTTTTCCTCACAATCCAAACTGTCACTTGTTTTATATATTTTAGGTACAAGTGTCACCAGTGCAACAAAGACTATGTTAATCTAAAGAGTGTCATCACACACGAGAAACATGTGCATAGAATTATTGCTAATGTAACAAGACAAAGCAAACCTAGGGCGAATAATGAAGATGATGACCTGCATAATTATCAATTGTCCTTTTTTAAACTCACTCTTTTGCACAGAAACCTTGTAACGGCAACTGATGCTGGTGATGGAGCCAGATCTGTAAGGTCGTCAAAATACGAACTTGGAATTTATAGCCAAACAAACAAAACAAAATATCTCATAGCTTGTATTCAGTTACAGTCACTTGTTCAAGCTAAACTGAGTGCTGAACAAGCACATAGACTGATTTGGAATAGGACTGTGAACATTCGTGGTGGTATTAACAACAATGAAGCCATAGATGGACACATTGAACTCATCAATCGTGAAGTGAAAAGGTTGTGTAAAGGCAACCAAACCAAGAAATCATGTATTAATCAAGCTGCTTTGTACAAAGTTCAAATGGCGATGGTTTCTCAAATTGATAGTGTTATGGTTTTTCGTCGAAGGAAGGGGATTCACAAAACACCACAGAGGGAAACTGATATCCGCAAAATTGTCTCAGAATTAATTGAGAAGCAAGTTTTGGTTCAAATCCCAGGGCGAAGAATAAAATGCACTAAGCTGAGAAGTGATGGTAAACTGTACACTAAAGTTAACAGAAAATTGGCTGAATCAATTTTTCGACATAAGCAAAGACTATTTGTGTGTCGTCATGGTGTGTAGTTATACGATTACCATATTTGCTCTATTAGAAGCAACAGAGCTTCAGGCATGTGATTTTAACAACATAGTGACAGTTTAGCATTCATTGTTTTATATCATTTGGCAAGTCAAAAACGCTGTGCAAAACATATTTTGACGAGAACAGTATGTCGATCAGTATTCTAATGTTACATTGTGGAAGGGTAAATCGCTCATGAACCAAAAATCACATGTATTGTATACATGATTAAAATGTTCTTTTTTATCATAGACACAAGTCATGTACTACTAATAGAGGAAATAAGGTAATTTGTAATAACATTAATTTTTGAAAATTTTTGATGTTAATATACATCTATGTATATTAACCAGGCTATTTGCACAATAAATTGGTTGTAGTATGTTCATCTGAAGTTGGGATGAAACATGTACACATGCTGCTCGTGTAGTTGAATGTTCAATAATAGTCTGTATTATGATTAGCAGATTTACATTCTTATTGCTTACGATATTTATTATAGCTTGGTCTGACAAAGATCTGATTATCTGACGGTTATAAATATTTTTTTCATCCTTGTCTGAATGCACTAGGCTGTTGGTGTAGTTGAATCATGGAGGTCTCTTTTCTACCTCCATGGTTGAATGTATAATTATTTAGAATTCAGATACCTACAAATTATTTTCAGCTTGTTTATTTTGTATTTCAAAGTGTACACAAATATTGATATGCCAATTAGCTAATTCAAATATGCAAATTGCATCAAAGTATACAGTCTAGGCTAGGTCCATCTATACCAGCTTTACCTAATTGTACCTGTCATGTATAAGAGAATAATAATTTATCATGCAGGTTTATATGATCGTAATTTTGATGAAATTTATCAGGTAGCTAGGTTAGTGAGAGATAGCAAAAAAAACATTGTCTTGGCAAGTGAAAATTGAACCCACACTTGTGTATAAAATCTACATACTAGTGTTTGTTTGTTCACACCACAGTCATTTTATTAGGAAAGTCAGGAAACACTTTTGTTAAAAGGTGTGAACAGGCTGTTCTGAAAGCAAGAACAAATTTTAAACCTTGTTTTTCTATAGCGCATTTGTGCCATAATTCATTATTTTCCAGGGTATCAGGTTCAACATCCAACCTTATATATTTGATTACATTTATTCCAAGATTCCCAGTTTGTGGCAACTGCTATAGCAAAAACGGTTTCCATTGTTTGTTTTATGCTAATGAGATGCACTAGTCCATGTTTTACCCCATTGTTTGTGTTTGGTGAGACTGGTTCTATATGCAAATTACTGTTCACAACTAAAAAAGTGTAGCAAACGTACTGACCACATTGAAAATAAAAATTGAATTCCACATACTGAGTATCAAAGTTAACTTTACACAGAAACCCTGCTGTGACTTTTGCTCACAACAAGCAAGCATGGTATGGCAGCCTGGTCTGGCCCAGTCTTGGCACAATGTGGCCTTGCCTGGCCCAAATGCCAGCTTTTTGGTTCATTAGTTTGATCAAACTCTAAGTTGTTAACGAGGTAATCCTTTAGTAAAAACAATAGGCAAATTATGGCATACAGATTAGATCATGGAGGTAATAAGAATCAATGTTTGCACCTGCCAAATTTGATCGAACTTTAATTTGGTAAAATCTGTGCGTTGTTCAAAATAATTTGCAAACTAGCTAATTTACATGAGTACATTATCCCCAACAGTAATGCGATGTAGAATATCCCTATCAAATTTGGTGTAAATCCTTTGATTTGTTCACAAGATAATTTTCTGGAACACACCTTGAACTCACACTGGAGCAAAAAATAAATCATATAATTTGTAATAAACAATTATTTATTTACATTAATGTGTTTTTTTAACTCTGATTTTAAATGCATACATGTTCAACAAAGTGATACGTACATGTAAATTGATTTATTCAGTTTGGTCTGCTTCCAAACTTTCATGAGAACATGAAGACTGTGATGAATCTGCCAATACAGAATCAGATTCTAAACTGCCTGTGTCATCTGATGACTCATCACTTTCTGTATCGGCACAGTAATGGACCATGTATTTTTCTATATAGTTAGCATGAGAGTCGCAATTACTACACGAGCAGTTTCTTTCACATATATCACAGCAGTTGTGATGCGATTCCTTGTTTTTTAAAACACTTAAGTCTTTACTGGACGCAAAATCTTCAAATAATTTAACTCTCCTACAGAGAGTATCATTTTTTACATAACTTTTTAGTTTTGGACAAATGTCACGTAACATTCCACCGTGATAAAATAACACGGCATGAGATGGTTTACCATCTCTTCCAACTCTGCCAGATTCTTGTATATAGCTCTCAAGATAAAATGATGGCCCATAGTGAAGTACATGGTAAGTTGATTTCATGTCAATGCCCATACCAAGAGCTGTTGTACAAAAAATTAATCTCAAATTAGAAGTAGATAATTTAGTAAACTCTTTTAGGTGCGATTCCTGGACTGTATTATCAGTCTCGCTGTGGTACATGCCTATATAATCAACTGATTGAGGGTATTCCTCCTTAAAAAAATGATAAAGCGTTCCTGTTGCATCAATAGATGAACAGTATACTATTGTCCTGGGGAATTCATGTTGATCTTCTCGTAGCTTGTCGACCATCCAATAAAATGTTGATGGGATATCTCGTTGAATCTTCAAAACAGATAGTCTGATGTTATCTCTGTTTGGGCAAACATTTACAACTTTGCAGTCTGGAATAATTAAACTTTCTTTAATCTGATTTTGCAGACCTTTTGATGCTGTTGCTGTTAATGCCAAAACAACAACGCCAGGAAAAAACGATCTCAGTTCCCCAACATGCGAGAAATATGCTCGGAATGCCCCTTCTTGTGCCTTTCGTCTGCTTTTGTTATTTGCATCAGATATTTCACCCCTGTTAAATTGATCAAAGAAATTATGCTAAATTTAGATGTTAAAGAGATTCTTGTTGAATTCAAGATTATGTCATGTTTGTCATAGTTTTATCATAGTGGGAACTGGGCCATCAGGATACTCAAAATAAAATAAAAATCGAGATTAGAAGAGTCCGAAATGTGGTATATGGTGTATGGTGACATAGGATGAACAAATTGTATATTAATATAGTGATACAAATCCTAATATTGTTGAAAAATTTATTATATATACAATTATATGCAATGAAAGTTCTAGCTTTCCCATAATGCAGTGAGTGGTTTAGAAATTGCAGATCAACTCAAAATGCTTCTAGTGTTAATTATGGAAATAACATGCATACAAATTTTACAAGCATGAGGGGCAATATACTTACCACTTTGGAATAGTGTGAACTTCATCAACTACCAATAATACAATCTTATCACCATGATGTTGATGTAGCATGTCTATGAAGGTGTGCTTTGTTCCTTGGAGATAGTCCTCTGGGGTACCATATATGTAGGTTGGTAACTTTCTATCAATCTGGATATCTCTGGCCATTTTTGCACTAAATCCCAACAAAGTCAATCTGTCTATCTGGAAAAATTACCAATTAATCACTTAGAAACTAATCACCAAGATATTGAAATAATAACAGGAAGTATAGATTAAACAATTTCCAGTGACAATACTGTGGTGCAAGTAAATTGCCATTTATAAAACATTCACTTATATGTATATAATAAAGTTAATTGTAAAACTTACTTGGTCTTTCATTAATGAGACAAGAGGCGACACTATCAAAACACAGCTTGGTGTTTCCAATACATGGGGAAATATTTGATAGATTAATGACTTTCCAAAACCAGTCGGCAAAATGGCTAGAACATCGCTCTTTGACATCAAATGTTGCAACACTTCCTCTTGTTTATCTCGCAATGACTCAACACCAAATTTAGCACAAATCTACAGAATGAGAAAATGTGATTATAAAAACGATTAAAGGAAATTGTTTGAACTACTTAAACAATGGAAATTACTACT